CGGCACCGTTTCTCCAGACAACGGCACCGCTGGAGGCTCCAGTTCGAACCCAGCCGACACTGTCAACCTCAGTACTGCCGGACTTGTCGGCCCCAGCACCAACAGCGATGCCGAACTCTCCATCAGCTCCGGCCCCACGGATTGAACACTGGGTGCCGAGGGACCCCAGGGGTGCCGAGGATAGCGAACAGAGCCCGCTACCTGTTCTCTCATCCTCTTCCTCGCCTGATGAAGCGGTTGCAGGGACATCTACATTGACATCTCTGGAGGACAACCGTGTTCTTCAACAGCTCCTGATGTGGGCCGCCCAAAGCCTGAGGATACAGGCAGAGGAGGTGGAGGAGGATGTAGACCCTGTCGTTGATATCCTGGCCCCCTCCGGCCCATCCAGGGTTGCGTTGCCACTGATTAAAACTATAACTGACACATCTAAGAATCTGTGGCAAACCCCAAGAAAACTGCGCCTACGCCAAGAAAACCGAGCGCCACTACTTCGTTCCCTCTAAGGGTTACGAACATCATTATACCCACCCTCCCCCGGACTCTTTGGTGGTCGATGCGGCCAATCAGAGAGAACGCCAAGGTTTTCAGGGCTCCACCCCAAAAAACAGGGACACCAAGAAACTGGACCTATTTGGCCGAAAGGTCTATTTGACTGGGGGCCTGCAGCTCCGGATAGCCAACCAGCAGGCTATAGTAAGCTGCTACGGGCATAACACCTGCTTGTCTATGGCTAAGTTTGCGGAGCTCCTTCCCCAGGAAACTCGGGTGGAGTTCTCCACACTCGTGGAGGAGGGGAAACTGGTCTCCAGAGCATCGCTACAAGCGGCTCTGGATGCGGCGGATGCAGCCTCCCGCATGATGGCCACAGGGGTAGTGATGAGACAAGGCTTCTGGCTGCAGGTCTCTGGACTACCACACGAGATCCAACAGACCATCCAGGACCTTCCTTTAGAAGGATCAGCTCTTTTCTCTGAAAAGACAGATAAGAGACTTCATAGTTTGAAGGACTCGAGAGCTACCTTTCAATCGCTGGGACTTCACACGCTGGCTACTCAGCGCCGGCATTTTAGGCCTCAGCCTGCCCCTCAGCCTTATCAACCACAAAACCACCAGGATGTTCCGCATTGGCGCAACAGGAGTACTAGGAGGAGACAACCTTCCTCCTCTGGGCAAAACTCTGGCCAGCCAAAACCCCCACCTGGGCCTAGACCACCCTTTTGAGGGTGCGGTCGAGGACGGCTTTCCAGTACGATCTCTGGATCATAGAATCTCAAGGTTGGAAGGGACCTAAGGAGGTCATCTAGTCCAACCCCCTGCTCAAAGCAGGACCAATCCCCAGACAGATTTTTGCCCCAGATCCCTAAATGGCCCCCTCAAGGATTGAACTCACAACCCTGGGATTAGCAGGCCAATGCTCAAACCACTGAGCTATCCCTCCCCCGATCCTTCCCATCTTACCTTCTCATCCTGTCTATCCCCTTTCTACCTACCGTGCCTGGTCCCAAATTACTTCAGACTGCTGGGTCCTCCATCCAATTCTATACCCCCCCACCTCACCTACCCCCTTCCCCGTCCCCTTTCAGGGACCCCTCTCATGAGCAACTTCTAATTCAAGAAGTGCAGTCCCTCCTCTCGGTAGGGGCAGTGGAGGAGGTTCCTCAGGAGCTAAGGGGCAAGGGTTTCTACTCCTGGTATTTCCTAATACTGAAGGCCAAGGCGGGGCCTCAGACCCATCCTGGACCTGCGACAGCTCAACAAGCATGTAAAGAAACTCAAGTTTCGCATGGTCTCACTAACCTCCATTATCCCCTCACTGGATCCAGGAGACTGGTACGCCGCCCTTGACGTGAAGGATGCGTATTTTCATATCACAATAGTCCCACATCACAGACGCTGCCTCAGATTCGTGGTTAGCAGAGGCCACTATCAGTTTGCTGTCCTCCCATTTGGACTGTCGACCGCCCCCCGAGTATTCACGAAATGCATGGCAGTTGTTGCGGCATTCCTGCGCAAACGCCAGATACAAATTTTTCCCTATCTCGACGACTGGCTAATCAAGGGACGCTCAAGAGCCCAGGTGGAGGCTCAGGTAGAATTTATAAGAAGGACCTTCCTCGAACTGGGTCTTCTCCTAAATGAGGAGAAATCTACCCTGTCCCCGGTGCAGAGGATAGAGTTCATAGGCACGGTCCTGGACTCTACCCGAGCGTACCTCCCAGAAGCCAGGTTTTGCTCATTTCGGGATATCATACAGGGCCTCAGACAGTTCCCCACCACCTCAGCAAGGAACTGCCTAAGACTACTGGGGCACATGTCTGCGTGCACCTACGTAGTGCAGCACGCCAGGCTCAGACTACGTTCACTCCAGTCTTGGCTAGCGTCGGTGTATCGGTCAGCTCGAGATGCTCTGGACTGCATTGTAACCCTGCCCCGCCCTGTGTTGGACTCCCTTCTGTGGTGGTTCGACCCGCGAGTAGTTTGCGTGGGAGTGCCCTTTGCCATCCCTCAGCCCTCTCGCTCTCTTTGGTGACAGACGCCTCAGATCTGGGCTGGGGAGCTCACCTAGGGGACCTCAGGACTCAAGGCCTCTGGTCTCAGACGGACTTCGCTCTACACATCAATGTCAAAGAGCTGAGAGCGATGCATCTGGCATGCTACGCTTTCAAGGCCCACATAACGGGCAGGTGTGTCTCAGTCCTCACAGACAACACCTCGGCGATGTTCTATAGCAACAAATAGGGGGTGCACACTCCTCTCCCCTGTGCCGCGAAGCCCTCGCACTGTGGGACTTCTGCGTAGAACACTCGATCCACCTTCAGGTGTCATACCTCCCAAGGGTTCAGAACGCGCTGGCGGACAGCCTCAGCCAGACATTCCAGGGCCACTAATGGTCCCTTCGTCCAGATGTGGTGAACTCAATCTTCCGGTTCTGGGGCTCTCCCCAGATAGACCTTTTCGCCACTCGTGGCAACAAGAAGTGTCAGGCATTCTGCTCCCTCAGGAGTCACAGCCCGGGGTCCATCGGGGATGCCTTCCTTCTCTCTTGGGCGGGCCACCTGCTCTATGCTTTTCTACCTATCCTGCTGATCCACAGGGTGCTCCTCAAGATCTGCAGGGACCGGGCTCGAGTTATACTCATAGCGCCGGCGTGGCCGCGCCAACACTGGTTCATCTCGCTCCTAGAAATGTCAGTAGTGGCTCCACTCACTTTAGGCAGACTCCGGCACCCAAATCTGGAGTCCCTTCACCTCACAGCCTGGATGCTGCATGGCTAAGCGCCGTGGAGCTGTCATGTTTGGACCAGGTCAAGCAAGTCCTCCTGGGTAGTAGAAAGCCTTCCACCAGGGCAACGTACCTTGCCAAGTGGAAACGATTCTCCATCTGGGTGGAGCAACGCCATCAGTCGCCTCTTCTCGCCCCCATACCATTCATACTGGACTACCTCCTGCACCTAAAACATCAAGATCTGTCCCTGTCATCAATAAGGGTCCATTTAGCCGCCATCTCCGCCTTCCATCCGAGCTCAGATGGGTTCTCGATTTTGCAAACCCTATAGTCAGTCCCTTCCTCAAGGGTTTGGACAGGCTCTTCCCACACACTTGTCAGCCTGTCCCAGCCTGGGACCTCAATCTAGTCCTGTCCAGACTTACAAGCCCCTCATTTGAACCACTGGCCACCTGCTCTTTGTTGTATCTCTCGTTCAAGGTTGCCTTCCTCGTAGCAATTACCTCGGCTCAGAGGGTTTCGGAGCTCAGGGCCCTCACGTCTGAGCCCCCTTACACAGTTTTTCATAAGGACAAGGTCCAACTTAGCCCTCACCCTGCTTTCCTCCCTAAGGTTGTTTCCCAGTTTCACATGGCCCAGGACATTTTCCTCCCAGTGTTTTACCCAAGCCACACTCCTCCGATAGGGAGCGCAGGCTGCACTCACTGGACGTACGTAGAGCCTTAGCCTTCTACATAGAAAGAACTAAGCCGTTTCGGAAGTCTGTCCAACTTTTTGTGGCTGTGGCGGACAGAATGAAAGGTCTCCCTGTGTCCTCTCAGCGTATCTCGTCATGGATCACATCTTGCATTAGGGAGTGTTATGGCCTGGCGAAGGTGCCCGCCCCGACGATTACTGCCCACTCCACAAGGGCACAGGCCTTCTCGGCGGCGTTCCTGGTTCAAGTCCCCACTCAGGAAATTTGCAGGGCAGCTACGTGGGCCTCGATACATACGTTTACGATGCACTATGCAATTACACAACAGGCCAGAGACGATGCGGCCTTTGGGCGGTGCTTCAATCTGTACATGACTCCGACCCCAGCTCCTGAGCTTTGGTTTGTGAGTCACCTGCTTGGAATGGACATGAACAATCACTCGAAGAAGAAAAAATGGTTACTCACTTTCTCATAACTGTTGTTCTTCGAGATGTGTTGTTCATGTCCATTCCAATACCCATCCTCCTTCCCCTCTGTCAGAGTAGCTGGCAAGAAGGAACTGAGGGGGTGGAGGGTCGGCGGGGCCCTATATTGTGCGCCATGAAGACACCACTCCAGGGGGCGCCCAGGCCGACCCTATGGACGCTGCTAGGGGAAAACCTTCCAGCTGGCGTGCACACTGCGCGCACACACCTGCTTGGAATGGACATGAACAACACATCTCGAAGAACAACAGTTACGAGAAAGTGAGTAACCGTTTTTTCCATACCTTTGGAAAAATATAAGAGTTATTACGTTCTATGCTAAATTTCTCTGTGTTCAATCCTTTTCTGTTCAATTCCTTATTCTAATTTCTTTTTGGCTGTTTGTCTTTTTAAAAAACATTATTTACCATTATTCAGTCTTTAAAACCTAATTTTTTGAAAAATACCATCTATATAATAATTTCATGGTTGATACTTCAACTCTAAGTTATGATAAAGGTCCAGATATCGTAATTATGTAGATATTGGAAAGGTCAAATGAATCTGAACTTGGTTAATGTTGTTTGAATTACTATGTTTTAATGTTATAGGAACCCATGTGAATGAAGATGATTTTTTGTTGTTGGAGCTCTTGCAGTGGTTTAAGGGTGAATTTTTCCAATGGGTGAATAGCCTTCCTTGCAGCAAGTGTGGTGGTCAGACAGAATCTAAAGGTATCTTATCACCTAACGATGAAGATCTGAGATGGAATGCAAACAAAGTTGAAAATCATCACTGTAACCAGTGCCAGTTCAGCAATAGATTCCCAAGGTAAGCACATAACCTTGGATTTTCTAAAATTCTACTTTGTATTTGTGTATTTTGTAAATTATTGGGAGGTCGTTGCTTGTATTTTGTTTTACATAGATTGAAAACCCTACTATAATACATACATAGATCATTTTAAGCAGTACCATGGGGTTGTTGTGGGCTCTGATATTTATATTTTATCACCAATCAGCCTAGAATGCTTAATTTTAAAAAAATTATTGCATTTAAAAAGAGGGCCCTGTTTTTATACTAAATATTTGACTGATCTTACCAAGTGTATTTTCTGTATATAATTATTTTAATTAATAAATGCCATTATCAAAGTGGTTTTTAAAAAGAAAGAAAGAAACCATTGCACTTTTTTTGGGAGCCCACAAAAGGGCATACTTCTGCTGACTGTAGCAACAGATATGTACTAATTTCAGAATTGTGCTGACATCTGTCAATAAGGTTAGGGTACAAAAATCCTACTTACATTGAGTTTTTTTAAAATAAGAACAGTCATGTAAATTTTAGCTCTCTTAGAAACAAGGAGATGGTCAGCCAAATGTTAATTTTGTCCAGTGCAACAATCATCTTCAGCAACAAGTGTGAACTCAATGGCACTGAGAACAGATATCCTGTTAATCAAGAGGACTACAGTAGAGCCTCAGAATTATGAACACCTCGGGAATGGAGGTTGTTCATAACTCTGAACAAAACGTTATAGTTGTTCTTTCAAAAGTTTACACCTGAACATTGACTTAATACAACTTTGAAACATTACTATGCTGAAGAAAAATGCTGCTTTTAACCATCTTAATTTAAATGAAACACACAGAAATAGTTTCCTTACCTTGTCAAATCTTTTTTTAAAACTTTTCCTTTATTTCTAGTAGTTTACGTTTAACACAGTACTGTACTGTATTTTCTTTTTCTTTTTTTTTCTGCTGCTGTCTGATTGCATACTTCCAGTTCCAAATGAGGTGTGTGGTTTACCAGTCAGTTCGTAACTCTCTTGTACATAACTCTGAGGTTCTACTGTATAATGGTTCAGAGATTTAGAAGAGGGAAATATATATTCCTGTTAAAGTCCATTAACGTGTACAAAGCACATAATTTACAATGAATAAAGTTTAATTTTTCTAGGTATAATAATCCTGAGAAACTTCTGGAAACAAGATGTGGGCGTTGTGGAGAGTGGGCTAACTGTTTTACACTGTGCTGCAGAGCTATAGGATTTGAAGCTAGATATGTCTGGGATTCAACAGGTATCAGTGCTCTAGAACACCTTAAACTTAGTATAAGCATGCATAAAAATGGGATTTACAACCATTAGATGTGTGTGTTCATGTTAGCTAACTGGTAACCTCTGAAGTTTCACAGTATCTTATGAACAAAATCTAGGTTAAATTTCCATCTTGTCTGATTACATGAAATATTCTATAAATGAAGTTAGACTGCTGTTTTCAACATGATGAAATCTTTATATCTTACATTACATATTACATTCAGGTTCTCCTACTTTCAATAAAAATAAGCAGAATTCATTGTTTTTGCTTTCACATTTAAAAGGAGATGTTTCTGAAGGAATATGAACAGAAAATGCATTCTTCCTTCTTCACAGTTCCATGTTATTACTCCTGGGGGAATTCTGTGCCACTGTGTGTGTGCAGAATTCATATCCCCCGCAGATTTCTTTGCTTCCCCGCAGAAAAATGACTCTGACAGGGAAGCAAAAGGAAGCTGCAAGAGCAGTCACGCACCACTCCCTAGCTGCGCAGGTACATTGTTTCATGCACCCAGAGCAGCAGCGGAGAGGTAAATCACCGCGGGGCTGGGACACCCCAGCCAGTGGCTCCTACCCTGAGTGGCTGGGGCTGTGTCAGACTCACCCCCAGGATTCTCCCCCAGTTGCAGGAAGCTCAGCATTCTCCCCTGCTTCCTGCCCCCATCGCTCAGCTGCAGGGGAGGGGTCATTGTACAGGGAGCTGCTCCCCCATCCGCCCAACCCCCGTGCATCCGAATCTCCCATACCCAGACACCCCCCATCAAGCCTCACCTCATACACCCAGACCCTCTGCCTTCGAACCCCCACCGCTGTACTCAGACCACCCCTAACTGAGCTCCCTGCACTTAAACCTCCACCCTGAAGAGCCCAACCCTCTGTACCCCGACATCCAGACCCCCATGCCACTGACCCCCACCACAACAAGCCCCACTTCCCCAGCACCCAGACCCCCCTGATGAGACCCCCACACCCAGACCCCTTTGCTGAACCTCAACCACTTTCACCGGAAGCCCCTGCAGAGTCCTATTGCCATGGCACCTGGAACCGCCCCCCACCCCCCCACACACCTAGATCCCCCATTCAGCTGCCTACACCCAGATTGTCCCACACAGAATCCTCTCACCCCACTCCTGGATCCCCCCACACTGAGCCCCTCCACACTTAGATCCTGCCTGGTTGAGCCTGCCTGCCCCACGCCTGGTGTGCCTCGCGCAGAGAGGCAGTGCCCCAGGGTGTTTCTGGGGCAGGCCCAGGCCTTATGCTGTGTCAGGGTCGGGTGCAGCCTCACCCCTAAGTGCATGTCCCCAGGGTAGGGAGCGGGGAGGCTGCAGGGTGATCTCCCAACCTTTGTGCAGCCAGTGGCCTGTGCTCCCCACTGCCATGCTGGAGCCTCTGCATTTATTTATTGACAAATAAAACTTGCAGAATTTTAAAATATTGTGCACAGACCTTTTAATTTTTTTTTATGCAGAATTTAATGTTTTGGCACAGAATGCCCTCAAGAGTAATGTTATGCTCCCCATTTAATTGATTTGGAAGAGTTTAAATATCTCAAACTGTAAGAATAGAAAACCCATCTAAAACATTCAGTGTTTTCCTCGGCCTGTCTCTCATGCAGATCATGTGTGGAGTGAGGTATATTCTTCATCCCAGCAGAGATGGCTTCATTGTGACCCTTGTGAAAATGTCTGTGATAAACCTCTTCTCTATGAGATTGGCTGGGGAAAGAAGCTCTCCTATGTAATTGCATTCTCCAAGGATGAGGTAGGGGTAGGGATAATAATATGCTATGAAATAAAAATACAAATTTGCCTTGAGAAAGAAGCCATGCATCATATACCATTTTAATGGGATCTGCTAGATCAGGGTGGGCAAACTACGGCCCGCGGGCCACATCTGGCCTGCGGGACAGTCCTGCCCTATCCCTGAGCTCCTAGCCCAGGAGGCTCACCCCCGGCCCCTCCCCTGCTGTCTCCCCTCCCCCGCAGCCTCAGCTAGCTCGCTCGCTCCACCGCCAGCGCAATGCTCTGGGCGGTGGGGCTGTGAGCTCCTGGGGCAGCGCAGCTGCAGAGCCGTGGCCTGACCCAGTGCTCTGTGCTGCGTGGTGGTGGCGGCGGCGTGGCCTGACTCCAGCCGGGCAGCGTGGCTGTAGCACCCGCCAGCCACCGGTGCTCTAGGCAGCGTGGTAAGGGGACATGGAGCAGGGGGGGTTGGATAGCGGGCAGGGGAGTTTGAAGTAGTGGTCAGGGGGTGGGGGGGTGGATAGGGGTCGGGGCGGTCGGGGGGGGGAATAGGGGGTTGAATGGGGGCAGGGGTTCCAGGGGGGCAGTCAGGAAGGAGGGGGGATTGGATGGGGCGGCAGGGGGCAGTCAGGGGCAGGGGTTCCAGGGGCAGTCAGGGGACAGGAAGAAGGGGTGGTTGGATGGGGCAGGGGTCCTGGGGGGACCGTCAGGAATGAGAGGAGGGGTTGGATGGGGCGGCGAGGGTCCGGGGGTGGTGAGGGGACAGGGAGCAGGGGAGTGTGGATGGGGCAGGAGTCCCGCAGCGGGCAGATAGGAGGTGAGGGCCGGGCCACGACCCCCTCCCCAACCGGCCCTCCATACAATTTCCGAAACCCGATGCAGCCCTCAGTCCAAAAAGTTTGCCCGCGCCTGTACTAGATTATTGTAAGGGAAGACAGTCTCTTGATCACATTGTCTATTTAAAATACACACATTTAAGAGGCAGAGTTTATATGTATTTTTTTAACTTCTGCAACTTATACTTGAGGTTGTTGATGTCACCTGGAGATATTCCTGTAAACACGAAGAATTACTTTCTAGAAGGACACAGGTCAAAGAAGCAGCTTTGCGTGAAACCATAGAGAGGCTTAATAAACTGGTACGTAGCTTTACCTCAACTGATTTGTTAAAATGACATGTATTGGAAACAGACTATGTAAATTCTTTGGACAAGGGAGCCCAGTCCTGATAAAGGTCTCTGTGTACTACAAAGAATTTAAATGTTGCTATTTATACGTTCTTTGATTTTACATAAGACCACTTCAGGACCAGTCACAGTATAACAGTTTTGTCAGTTGAGAATTCTTAAAGTGTAGTTCTCCTCTGTGAAGTAACTGTAAAAGTGTCACCTACTTATACCAGTCTGTTCTCTGCATAGTCAGTCATATTTCCTTACTTTGATTGGGGAAAAGGAAATTATTACCTTTTACTCCTGTTGGCTCTGCAGAGAAAGTGAGCTGGATTCTGTTCTCTCTCGTGCATCAACAGATATGTCAAATAAATTTAATCAATTATACCTGTGCAAACAGTTGAGTTTCACAACTTCAATGAGACCATAATTTTAAGACCATAAGGTTGTATAGCTGTAAGAGAGGGCCTAATTCACTTTGCAGAACTTATTTTACTGGCTGTGAGAGAAGAACTCAGCCTGACTCAACTCTCAGGCTGCTTGCAGGACTGTCCATGAAGAAATAAGAAGTGTTACATGTCATCTTAGCACATTTGACATGGAAATCATTGAGACAAAAATAGACTCTCAGTCCAATGCATCTTAAAGTCACTTTCTCAAGAAAACCCAGCCTTTTTAATCATATGGTAAAAGTATGTTATATAATAATTCTTGTTCTACATACCAGACTTCTTTAGGCTCACTTGATTTATCTTGAAATGTAATGGTATGATTTTACTCAATTCTATTGCTTCTTAAAAATATGCAACTCATACTGCATTTGTAATGACATTCATCAATGTGAATCTACTCTTTCAAGCATGATATGATTTTTATGCTTAGACTTATTCACCAAACCAGGACTTCTGGTAACCAGAACAGTCCACGATGTAGAAGATATGATTATTGGGTCAAGTCTGTTTTTTTTCTATTCCCAGACAAAAAAATACATTAAGATTGAGAGTACATATCAGTAATTTAGAATAAAATACATTACAAGGATGTTTTAATGATGCAAAAACATGCATTATAATACCATGAAATTCAATTAGAGTTTACTTTAAAAGAAATCCAAACAGATTAAGGTGTGGACATATGCAGTTAGGGCACTCAAACATTTTTTAAAGTCACTGCATGATGCCATGCAGTAACTATACAATTAGGATTGAGGCATATTAATGCATGTGATCTCAGTTTAGTGTTTTAACAATCAGTTTAAATCTAGATTCTTTCATGTTTACTTCCGCATGGTATCATTCTAGGACTGAGATACACTTGGAACTAATCTGAAAGATTATTTTTTCTTTGAGGTTTTTTGCACTTTTTTTTAATTATTACAGAGACAACAATCCTTGTCAGAAAGCAGAAAGAGAGTGCTCCTGGAGAGGATAATTGTGGAGCTTGTTGAGTTCATTTCTCCCAAAACTCCTAAACCTGGTGAACTTGGTGGAAGGATATCTGGTTCAATGGCTTGGAGAGTAGCCAGAGATGAAATTGGTTCAGAGGTATTTAATTTGTGAACTGGTGATCATTTTAGGGGTGTCTAAATTGTTTGTCTCTTAATTATAGGCTCATGACTGACATTCTTTTGATTAAAGCTACAACATAACAAAAGCAGGAAATTTAAGAAAACTGAAATTAAGGTGTTTGGGAAATCAACACATTAGGTTGATGAGAATTGCCTCAAGAATTCTGGGGAATCTAATTAAGCTTGAGAGCAGTTTTCTACGTGTGTGTGTGTGTGTGTGTGTGTGTGTGTGTGTGTGTGTGTGTAAAATGTAAATCAGAACCCACTGTGAATGTGTAACTGCAACTCCCACAAAATGAGATTAATTAATGTTTACATAATCCCCCCTAACCTCAAGGTTCTTGGCTAAGTGGAGTTTTTTTATGTTCTTAATTCCTTATGTGGAGAGACAGAATTTCCTAAAAACAATCCCTCTAGATAGGCCAGTACGCAAAGGTATGAATTATTCCTGCCATTTTGCACATCCTTTTCAGAGTGATCTTGTCATTTGATGTAAAAAGGATGACAATCTAAATACCGAATTAGAGCTAGTTAAGTGGAACTAATGGATTTCATAGCAATGCTCAGATTTGAGATACTAGTGTTTATTTCAACTATACATATTTTAGGGGACTTTATTTCTGTCTACTGAATCTCATGATATGAAGGATGATTAAAAATCTATTTTTAAGTGCATATACTTCATTTTCCCTTGTTTTCTAATTATCTTTATGACATTCACACTTAACCTTAATTTTGAAAGCCCACCTTTATTTTTGTTTCCCTATCAGATTTAGAAAGGCATTGTTCTGTACATTGCTATAGTTATGCTGAAAGTTGCAGCTTAGTCATTGAGCTATGCTTGCTCTCTTAATATAGCTTAACAATTTGCTTTTTTGTCAGTCTGTTAAATCTGATTAACACACCTAATTCCTGCAGCCCCCTGTCATAAACGAGCATGAAAATTCTTTTGTAAACAACTATTTACTGTAGACAGATTCATGGTATTAGTTATTTTAAAATAAATTACTTCCCCTTTCTCTGTGGAAGATTTATATTTATTCTAGCAAAGTAATGTAAAATTTCTAAGGTGGGGCAAACATTTTTCAATGGCAAAAAAAAATTCTAGTATTTTTAGATTGGCTGCTGTACAGTTTTTCATAAAGAACTGTGAACCTCTTTGATATACTGCTTATATAATAGATAACGGCATGGCGATCTACTTTATCAAATATATATATTTGCCAAATGTTTATGCTAAACAAAAAGCAAAAATAAAATTAGCATGATCCCTTCAAATATATTGCAAAACACCAATATATAGTTTTTGGTTTTGTTCAGATGAGAAAAGAAGTCATTTTTATTCCATCTGGGAAAGAGAAGACGTCTAAACTCTTCCACCTCAGTTACAATATAGTGGAAGATAGCTATACACGAGTTTCCAATAATAATGAAAAAATCACTGGCTGGGAGAAAGGTGTGTGGAAGACGGAGTCTCTATGGAGAAAGGTTGAAACGGATTGGAAAATGGTAAGGATTGCAATTAAAGAAATTTCTGTAGAATTTTCTAGATTATTAATAGTCCCAATAAAGTCTAATATTACTAAGCATATTTTGCATCAAATTTCTCTTAATGCTTAAGGATTCAGTTGGAGTTGCCAGATTTTACTGTCCCGCTTCAGATAGGATTGTTAACTGATATGAGAAATTGGAAATAAAGTCAGCTTGCCTTTCAGAATGGGATGACTGACTTCTCTGCAGATAACAAGAACCCTGCTGGAACACTAAAGTTTATGGCCTACCTTCCCCCTGTAAAAAGCAACAAAGAGTCCTGTGGCATATTATAGACTAACAGATGTATTGGAGCATAAGCTTTCGTGGGTGAATACCCACTTCGTCAGACGCATGTAATGGAAATTTCCAGAGGCAGGTATAAATATGCAGGCAAGAATCAGTCTAGAGATAGCGAGGTTAGTTCAATCAGGGAGGATGAGGCCCTCTTCTAGCAGTTGAGGTATGAACACCAAGGGAGGAGAAACTGCTTTTGTAGTTGTCTAGCCACTCACAGTCTTTGTTTAATTCTGAGCTGATGGTGTCAAATTTGCAAATGAACTGAAGCTCAGCAGTTTCTCTTTGAAGTCTGTCCTTTGAAGTTTTTTTGCTGTAGGATGCCTACCTTTAAAGCCTGGACCAATCTATACAGGAGGTCCACTTCCTAGACACCACGGTACAAATAAGTGACGGTCACATTAACACCACCCTATACCGAAAACCCACCGACCGCTATGCCTACCTTAATGCCTCCAGCTTCCACCCCGGACATACCACACGATCCATCGTCTACAGCCAAGCGCTGAGGTACACCCGCATTTGCTCCAACCCCTCAGACAGAGACCAACACCTACAAGATCTTCACCAAGCATTCTCAAAACTACGATACCCGCACGAGGAAATAAGGAAACAAATCAACAGAGCCAGACGTGTACCCAGAAGCCTCCTGCTGCAGGACAAGCCCAAGAAAGAAACCAACAGAACTCCACTGGCCATCACCTACAGTCCTCAGCTTAAACCTCTCCAATGCATCATCAGTGATCTACAACCCATCCTGGACAATGATCCCTCGCTTTCACAGACCTTGGGAGGCAGGCCAGTCCTCGCCCACAGACAACCCGCCAACCTTAAGCATATTCTCACCAGCAACCACACACCGCACCATAGTAACTCTAACTCAGGAACCAATCCATACACACCATCACAGGACCTAACCAGATCAGCTACAGCATCACTGGTTCATTCACCTGCACATCCACCAATGTTATATACGCCATCATGTGCCAGCAATGCCCCTCTGCTATGTACATCGGCCAAACTGGACAGTCCCTACGTAAAAGGATAAATGGACACAAGTCAGATATTAGGAATGGCAATATACAAAAACCTGTAGAACACTTCAACCTCCATGGACACACAATAGCAGATTTAAAGGTAGCCATCCTACAGCGAAAAAAACTTCAAAGGACCAGACTTCAAAGAGAAACTGCTGAGCTTCAGTTCATTTGCAAATTTGACACCATCAGCTCAGGATTAAACAAAGACTGTGAATGGCTAGCCAACTACAAAAGCAGTTTCTCCTCCCTTGGTGTTCACACCTCAACTGCTAGAAGAGGGCATCATCCTCCCTGATTGAACTAACCTCGTTATCTCTAGACTGATTCTTGCCTGCACATTTATACCTGCCTCTGGACATTTCCATTACATGCATCTGACGAAGTGGGCATTCACCCACAAAAGCTTATGCTCCAATACATCTGTTAGTCTATATGGTGCCACAGTCTTCGTTGCTTTTTACAGATCCAGACTAACACGGCTACCCCTCTGATACCCTTCCCCCTGTGTTCACATGGACACACACAATACTGCATGTATTAATAAGGAATACTTCTTTTCAAAGAGTCTAAATTGTTTTTTCAGCAGTGGTGAAATAACTTTGTAGTATATCATATCTCTTCATTGCACAGACAAAAAGGAAAAAATTCCTTATGCTAAACCTTACAGCTCCATCTGCAAGAAGGGAAAAAGCTGTCAGTTACCCAGATTATTGAAGACCCTGCCTAAACCCTTCCCATCTGCTGATACACTGAGCAACAGAAGGATCATGCACTCCAAATCTAAAGAGGGAGAGGAATTAAGGCTAAACTGGGGAAGGAGACATTTACTAGCAAACAACCACCAAGTATGGAGCTGAGCATTCTATATTAGTGACTATTGTTTTGCTCTCCCTAACATCTTGTTAGCCTGACAGCTCCCTCTGTCCAGTCATACCACCAACATAGGCCAGGCTTTGCCTCCTATCCACAATGGAAAATGAAGCTTACCAGAGAAGTTAATTTCACTCTGAAATTTGCTGTGCTGACCCTGTATACAACAGCTTGTCAGAGCACCATGGGAGAACAGGATGGGGAAGTGCACAAAGAGGAAAGGAGAGAAAAAGCTAGAGTGGAAGATGAAGGGTAAAAGAAGATGCAGCAGAGTGGGATAGTGGAGGAAGAAGAACAGGGAAGGGTAAGAGATCAGACTAGGCACTCCCCAGCCTTCCCACTGTCTGAGACCAATACAGGTTCGAATGAGGATTCGAGTGGAAGAGGAAAATTGAGACAGAGGCAGATTATAATTCAAAACAGGTGGCCGTTTATTAATGGGGGATGAATTACAACTTGGGCTGGGGAGGAGCACCTTTACGAACTAACAACACAAATTCAATTGAAATAGGAACAAGTAACCAACCAAAAATATCACCAGGGCAGTAATATAAAACAGTCTATGTACACTTAACAACAAGGAATCAGATAATTTACAACCAACTGCTTACTGAAAAGCCAGAACAAACATACAAAACTGAGTAAACTGTAATAATTCGTCCTATATACACTATACATGAGATTTGGTACCAAGTCATAAAGAAAAAAGGCCTAAAAAACAGAATATCTACAAAAATTAATATGTACATACCACACTCCAGGCGCAGCTGACCAGCAGTACAGACACCAGGGACATGACGAGATGTAACCCGAGATGACACGACACGAGTCGGCTAAATCCGGAGGAGATCCTGGCTGAAAGGGTGATCAGGCCTTCCAGCTAACACGTGGACACTCCTGCTGATTTAGGCGAGGGACATAGTTTTGTTCGAAGACCCTTGCTCGTGCTAGCATCTGATTGGTTCCCCGCTCCTACACCAACCAGGCTCCGAGCTGGTGCCCTCTATGTAAACAGATACTGCACCCGGCACGCTAAGCTTATGCACACGGCACGCCGGAATTGTAGCACACGGTACGAATGTGACCCACAATTCACCAGGCGGAAGGTTCGAGAATGGTCACACAGCCCCAGTGTGTTGCACACAACACCAAGGCGCTGCACACGGCACCAAGGTGCTGCACATGACACCGATGTGACCTTCTGACCGACAATTGGCCATCCAGACGTCATGACAGAGCATAGGGTTGCGACACCCACGTCTACTAACAGTGTGGCTATACCTCCCACCTTCAGATACTCATATAATCAGCCTTCCCATTTTTGCCAGAAACATATGGGTCAGGTGAAAAAACTAGCCACTAATCAGGGGAGTGCTCTGTTCAAATACATATATCTGCTCTTTTGCTCAGCTCTCTACCCTGGGTATATGTAACAAGTGGAGTAGGGAGCACTGATTTGTGTGACTGAGCAAGAAGAGTTTACCAGCAGTAAGCAGCTCTTCCATGAAGTTGGAAGAATTGGGGGTGGGTAGGAGAACTGACCAGATGCCCATCAGGCTTGTAGCTATGACGTGGCAGATCTATAGAATGCCACCTTGTGGAATGTTCAGTCTTTTAACTTGAGCAGATGTACAGCTTAAGAAGTTGGAGTCCAGCTAAACAGCTGTCCAAGAAAGTCTTCAGCCAGAGAAGCCTTCATAAAAAAAATAAAAAGAAAAAAAATAGGTTCATCCTTTAATTTGGAATGAAGGGAGAGGAAACCAACAAAGGCTACTCAAAAAGTAAAGTTCTTCTTCAAGATCTGTTGCACATGTCCATGCCAATTTAAGTATGCAAGCACCCTGAGCACAGCTGTCTGAGATTTTTCCCCTAGTGGTATCCGTCGGCTTGGTGCTGGCGCCCCCTGGTGCCACGCGCTCATAGCACCGGTATAAGGGGCCCCCGCCGAGCCCAAGCTCCTCGGTCCCTTCTGACTGCCCATGCAGCTGTTGGAACTTCACCTCTTTGTCTTGAGCAAAGTGGTTTAGTGGTTTCCACTATTTTTCATTGTAAATAGTTAGATTTTGATAGTTTAGTAGTTTCAGTACATTTAAGTAGTCATAGTTTAGGACTGGGACTCCTCTCCATGCTCAGAGATGCGCTCTGTCCCTCCCCTGGTACTGGGACATGCCTCAGGCACCAGGGTTTAAACAGTGCTCTTCATGTGGCAAGCTTATGCCTACTAGTGACCCTCACTTGAGTTGTCTCAAGTGTTTGGGAGAGTGTCATAGGAAAGAGCGCTGCAACATCTTCTGGGAATTTAAGCACACATGCAGAAAGAGCAGCAAGGTTGAAAGTCCTACTTATGGAGGCGGCGCTGAGACCCGCCTTGGAGCAGAGATCAGACTTGGCACTGAGTATTTCAGCGTCAGTACAAAGTGCTCCGCTGGTGGCTAAGAGCTCTTGGCACTGGTCCTCCTCATTGGTACCAAAGAAGAAACATCGAGGCCACCGGGAGAAGACTTGCTTGCTGGCACTGAAGGGAGACAAGCGAGCAGATTGGGATAGAGCGAGATCCAGGCTGGGCCGCTCTCCCTCCCCGGCACCGTGGCAACCACTGGCAGAGGCACCGGCGCCACAGACCCCAGTAGCGCTCAACCAACCAGCTGGTTGGCACCGGGCAGACCAGTTTGTAGTGCTTTTGACCCCAGAAGCCTACACGGCTGCTATTGAGCTGATGACTTTGTCGATACCAAGCCCAGACGGGAGACAGGACGCAGCAACAATGGCGCCACTCAGTAGCACCGCAGCATCAACCACCTTTAAGCCAGTTTCAAGACCAGCCTCCAGGGGGAAACCCCCTTCATTGCCTCGCCAGAGATGTCTCCACAGCACCGATCAGCCCCACCGTGGTCCTCCACCTCCACGTCATCTTCTTCATCGAGTCCGGACTCGGGATCCGACTATTCAAGACACCGGCACCAAAGGGAGACACTGCGTCAGCCCCCACAGACAGTGGTACCATTGGGCATGCTGGGAGCAGGGATGACCCAAGGCGCCGGGCCCATGGCGTCTGGCACCCCTACAATGGGGCTTTTGGAACCTGTGGGGGCTTCCCCCAGGCCAAGGGACCAGCTCATGGTGCTCCTACTTGGTGCGCTCAGAGACTGTTGTGGCACCAGGGGCACACAGGGAAACTCTGGAGCCAACCCCCTGTACCGGTCCTGATGCCAGAGCATGTCCCAACACCGTTGCCTAAGCAAGGGATACTCCCTGGTACTGATGCCAGTATCAGAACCAATACCAGTACCCAAGTTCTTGTGCCTCAGGAAGAGGCTGCAGTGGACACTATGGCAGTGCACATCTCTTCTTCATCGTCTCAAGAGGACGAGCTCATGCTCAAGGGGCTCTCCCCGCTGCAGGATGACATAAGGGCCCACCAAGACTTGTTAAAGTGGGTAGCCTCTAATCTTGGCAGGCAGAAGTTGTCAAGGAACCATCAGATGGGTTCCTAGACATTCTGTTGGCCGCAGCCCCTGCGAAGGTGGCCCTGCCCTTACACAAATCCATTTTGGGACGTATTAAGGCCATTTGGCAGACTCCTGCCTCCATTCTACCCACAGCAGAGACCAGAAGGAAAATACTTTGTGCCCGCAAAAGGCTGTGAGTTCTTGTTCTCTCATCCTTCTCTGGGATCCCTCATTGTGGCGGCTGCCAACAAAAAGGACCGCGAAGGTCAGACGGGGTTTACCCCCAATCCAAAGGAGCCCAGGAAAATGGACCTTCTGGGTAGGAAGGCCTATTCGATGGGGGGACTCCAGTTGAGGATAGCGAACCAGCAGGCATTGCTGGGTTGATATGATTACAACATGTGGGAAGTAATGAACAAAGTCAAAGACAAAGACAGACTTCCCCAGGCTTGGTGGGGGCCCCTTATACCAGCGCTATGAACGCACTGCACCAGGGGGCACCAGCGCCAAGCCGACGGATACCACTAGGGGGAAAATCTCTGACAGCTGTGATCGGGGCACTCGCACACCTAAATCAGAATGGACATGTGCAACACATCTCGAAGAACAACAGTTACAAAAGGTAGGTAACTGTTTTTTAACGTAAAGCTAACTATGGATCTCAGTCCACAAGCTGTAGAGAAGAAATACCAACTGCAGTGCAAAGCAGTAGAGAAGAAATACCAACTGCAGTGCAAAGCAGAAAGATAAGAAAGGCAAACTGATGCAGGTAAAGTGGATTTGCTGATCCTCTATTTAGTATCCCAATCAGCAGTAATCGCCATCTTACTTATATAGTGCAGTGCTGTAAACGAACATGTCCCTGAGGTAAAACTTCATAGAATTAGATCCTAGAACCAACTGAAGAAAACTAGAATTTAATAGGCCAAATTCCCCCAGAACCATCTGCAGCACATGGTGCTAATAAGCACAATGTAAGGAGCAACCTAAGAACCTGTTCATCTAAAATCATTGGATTTTTAAAACCTTGTATCCTCAGGTTCTTTCTTACAGTCTACACTAACCATCTTCCAAAAAAAATTTGCATTCATGGGTAAGAATGTAAACTGGATTTTGTCCTTCTAGATTCAGACTGCTTGCAGTTCTTTCAGTAAAGGGTAGCAGTATGTATAGGTAGCACAAATAAGGAGGCTATGTAATGTAGGCAGGAAACTTCAGGTCTACTCAAGATATGCCAGCTGCTGATGGCCCCAAAAGGATCATTACAGTGATTGGGATTGCTGGAATGTAGTGGACGCTAGTCATCCCCTCTCTGACTCCTGGCATGCCAAGGCCTAGAAAGGGTGGCACAAAGCCAGCTGCACCAGTTGAGTCCCACACATCTCTTTGTTTGTTACACAGGCCATTTGCGCTACCATAGAAGGGCAAAGGAGCCAAAACAGGATGGAAAATCTGGCCCATTGTATTTACTTAAAAGCAGAACCCTACATATTTAAAACAGTATGAGTCTACGTCACTAAAATACCACGCAGCACATTAAAGAGCTTCCCCTACTATTTCAATGAAGTAAACTTCACTGAAAATGTGCAGTTACCCAATATCACGGTAAAAACAGGAATAAGGTATTAGAAGGAGATTCTGTGCAAAGTTTTATTGTGTACAAACTTATTTTTCAATGACTTAAAAAACGTAATAAAGTTTTTTTACGCCAAGGTTTAGTGCCCTTATACAACAGTTAAAGACATTTCATTTGATCTATGTTCAGCATCCATCTTTCAATACCTTAACCATGATGTTTTTCCATTTAGGTTTATTTAGCCCGAAAAGAAGGGTCATCCTCTGCTTACATCTGCTGGAAGTTTGAGTGTGGGTCAGTTGATCTAAAAATAGACAATGTTTCCATTAGAACGAACAGTCAGACGTTTCACAGTGGAAGAATAAGGTGGAGATTGCGCTCCAACATAGCGGAAGTTGATCTGACTGGAGGTAAGTGTGAAATCTGATTGATTTTATTTTTAAATCATGCGGTATAAGTGCTAATGCAAATGCAACGCACTAGTACGCAGGGAAGTGGAGGTGGGAGAAACAATGTAAGCAATAAAGAAAGTTAAAATGCAATTGCATTTTAACCTTTTCCCACTCAGGCTTTTTGCCAAGGATAAGGAAATATGTGAGAACAATCAATATATAACTCCAACCTGCCACATTTTTCCATATTTGGGGAAAATAAAATTAGGATCCAGCAAAACCTGACGTGGATACAGGAGATATATGGGCTCTTCAAAGCAGGGATTGTCTTTATATTTGTACATCATGTAGCAGAATGGGGCACCCAATCCTGACTGGAGCCTCTGGAGACTACCACAATACAAATAATAAATAATAATTTGATTATCTGCAAGTCAAACACTTTAATGTTCATTACAAATTACCTCTTGAACATGTATTCTAGCAAAATAAATGATCTGTGGCAGAACTTTAATTGTTTGGGGTTTTTTTCTCCCCCAACAGATAAAATTCTTCGCTCCTATTCAGATTTCTCTGATGCAACAGAAGTTATTTTGGAAGCTGAACTAAGTGGAGGGGATGGTGATATTGCATGGCAGCACACCCAGCTGTTTAGAGAGAGCTTAAGTAACTCTGGAGAAAATTGTTTGGAGATAATTATAAAACTCATTGGTCTCTGAGAATCTAAGCAGAGGAGAAATGCTATTGGCAACAGGGATTTATTGTATAAAATATGCTGTGGATACAATGTGAGGACTTGATTGTCAATTACCATAGTTCATACCGCTGGCATTTTTTTTCCCATTTGCCAGTTTTAATTTGGCCATCATGAAAATAATAAATTTTATACTATGGACCATAGAGAAACATTGGAATTTTGCAGGTTTTATTTTTGTGGAAATGTCAAAGTAAAAATGTGTTTCATCCAAAACATGGAAATTAAGGTATTCAGAGTTACAACTGATGCTCCATCCGAAACTTGCTTCATAGTGAGAGGGGGAAATAATGATGGGAAAGCAAAACTGAGTGAGGCACATACAGCAGTTTTAACTTTGAATTTGGGGGCTGGTTTGTTTCACAATCTCTGCTGTTATTTGGAGTTAAAATTTGCACTTAGTTGTCTGGTAGGCAGCATGTGTTATGTTGTTTTTAATTTTAAAAGACTTGTATAAAGGATAATATTAGCCTCTAACATCTCCTGTGGTTAAATCTACATACTATTTAGGCATTTTAAAAGATACAATATTATTTTACATGATACACCAGAAAAGCAGCTTTGGATAAATATTAAGGCAGTTTTTAAAGATGGCCTAGATATATGTGTGTATTGGTCTAAGTAATAAACATATTTTGGAGTATAATAGTATACTGGGTAATACATTTATGTGAAAGTCATGTTCAACATGTACCTAGAAATTCTGTTATGGTCTATCATGTAAAATAGAGATTTAAAATTGAGTAAAAACACATAATTTTTATCCTGGAAAATGCCTAGTTTGTTATACATATTTTTATACTGTATAAATCCATATTTATTCCCCTTTTTATTAAGTTGCTTATTGAGCTGATAGATCATAATCACTTTTTAAGAAGCTATTATCTTGTGTCAGTCTGAGTCACATGCACCAGATTTGGTGCTAGAAGTAGAATCATAGAATATCAGGGTTGGAAGGGACCTCAGGAGGTCATCTAGTCCAACCCCCTGCTCAAAGCAGGACCAAGCCCCAGACAGATTTTTGCCCCAGATCCCTAAATGGCCCCCTCAAGGATTGAACTCACAACCCTGGGTTTAGCAGGCCAGTGCTCAAACCACTGAACGATCCCCCACATGAGGTGCTTTTTTTCCCCCTTGATGCGTAAAAATTTTCAGACCATAGAATTCAGTTTTTAACTTTTTGCCCCAAACACAACCAACACTACAATTCAGGAGATCAAACTTCGATTTTCAGTCCTGGTCTAGCTCCATGGCCTGTCGTGGGCTGGGAGTGCTGTGGATGCAGTATAATGAGCCACTGGAGAGTGATTGCTTGATTTCAACAGCCTCCATGAACTATTAAGAAATTGTGTAACTCTGTCTCCTTCTCCCCTCCCTCCCCAAACACACAATCAAACAAACATCTGAAGGACTGTGTTGGGATTTTAAAAAGTGATGGACTACCTTATTACCTGTGTAGTTATGCAAACTAAGAAGAGACTTCAGGATTTAAACTGATCATTTGTGGGGGATTAGGAAGAGATACTCTGCACTCCCTATGTAGAGAACACTTGAGCTACTCAACACAAGTGAAATGCACAGAATTGCACCTAACAGAACAATATTAATATACACACATATACTCCCAAGCACACCTAGTACAATGTGACATCATGCCTTGATTAACCTGTAGCTTCAAAGAAAAAAAAATCAAAAAGTTCTTATAGTGAGGAATAAAGTATAAGACAGAGCTAAAGGGTAAGGAAATAGTCCATGTAGAAAAAGGGTTTGTACAGAAGATAGGAGACTTCGAAAGAACTAATTATCAAGTAGAATCAATTGAAAATACTCAAAAGAAGAAGGAATAAACTGAGAGTAGAATATTCTACATTCTGCTTGAACAGCGGGAGCAGCAAGAATTACAAAGCTATTAGGAAAACTAGTAGCAATGAGGATCTTATCAGGACACAGTAAAGAGGGGAAATAAATTGATTATGTTTGTGGACATGTTACAAGACCATTTCTCTATAAATTATGGGCTTCAACTCCCATTGACTTTAATGGCACTGAATCAGGGCTTATTATAAGGAGGATTGAAAAGGGTTTGCAATGTTTTGTAACACAAAAGATGACTGCTGATATAGAAGTGATGAAGCATCCCTACATCAGTAACTAATAAAAAGCAGAAATATTCCTTTACTGCAGGATGATGCTCAGGCAAACCAAAAATCACAGTTTCCTATAAAACAGAACCATAACAGAATGGGTTTGGAGGACCAAGTGTATTTTGGAGGGAGCAAAGCCTCACAACCTCCTTCATCTATGGAGGCAGACATAATCCGCAGAAGACTGCATACTCCTCTGCAGGTCTCCATTCCCCTGGTGAGCAAGAGCAGTGCAGTGTCACTCACAAAGGGCACACACTGGGAGTTAATGTTGAGTTACAAGAAAATCCTCAGCTTTCCCTGATGTCATGAATTGTTTTTAAACAACCTTAAAGAGACTTGCAATCACAGGAGTTAGTAACTCTGAACTTGGAACCTGTTGCTTCTTAGCCCTGCATTTAGTCCACATTTAACATAGCTTTTTCTCAAGGGGCATTAGTAAGAGGAGTAGCCTTCTCCCCACACAAAAGTTTTAAGATTGATATCATTGTGATTGTTAGCCAAAATGGCTGCCTTGGTATTTCTGTGAAAATTTTTGAATAATCTCAATAATGAAATGTATAGCTAGATGTGGATTTCACAACCTAATTTAAATTTTGGAGCTCTTAAAAAACCCCAAACATATACTTATTTTTACAGAAAAATTAATGTGAAGACTCACCTAGCGCAAAAATTAATTGGCAAAATTGTTTGCAGTGTTGTAACCATGTAAATTTAGTCAGTTTCTACCAGATCTTAGTTATGAGATTTAAGGATAAAACAAGTAAAGAAAATGTTCAGGCCATATATTCTACTAGAAGTCAATAAGCAAGAAAAGACTATCTAGTGATACTGGACAATAAAACTCTTACTACTATGTAATCTTTGCTGCCTTGATAGGGTTGTTATTGCAAGTCAGAAATTGATACACAGTCCTCTCTTTTCAATATCCTAAATTTTATTATTATATTTTATATCTATATAGATATAGATAATTAGGTTACTGAAAAGAGGGTTATTAGGAATTCCAGAAAACCCTAACCATATTTGGTAATTGGGTAAGCAGATAGTGGATCAGATTTAATATTAGTAAGATGAAAGTAATGCCTGCTCAATTTTCACACACAATTTTGGACTCTGGGTTGGCCAGACCGTCTCAGTGGCTATGGAGGGAGTCATCCACTCAAAGCAATGCAGCAGTTAATGTGCACTATTAAAATGTTTGAATGAAGTGAGGAGATTTAAAATATTGTAGTCCTCGTTAATCAACAATACATTTGCAACTCAAGTATTACTTTCATTTTGATTATAGCAATAGCAATCAGTAGAAATACTTATTTTAGGAAAGACTTGATGAGGGAAACCCAAAGATTAAATACAAGTAAAATACAAAAGTTACACCTCTACCTCGATATAATGCTGTCCTTGGGAGCCAAAAAATCTTACCGCGTTATAGGTGAAACCGTGTTATATAGAACTTGCTTTGATCCGCCAGAGTGCGCAGCCCCGCCCCCCCGGAGCACTGCTTTACCGCGTTATATCAGAATTCGTGTTACATCAGGTCGCGTTATATCGGGGTAAAGGTGTATATTGAACTCCCTCTTGTGTCCCTGAAGTACCCTTTGTAAGGCAGAATAGTTTGAACTCTTTAGCAAATACATTCTTTTAAATGACCTCTTTTTCTGATCTCCATTTCAGTGCAGATCAATTTTTATTAAAAAGGCAATTTTTTTTTTTTACTTAAATGCCAGTTTCTTCCTGTGACAGCACTTGCTTTCTTTCATCAATGATTCCTTGACAAAACCTTATGCTAGAGTGGACTTAAAATATTGTAAGGTAAAAAGGTTCCATGCTATGAAGTGCTTCAAAAGTATGGGTATCAATTTGTGACGACTGTGGTGTGTGTTCTTGATTGAGTTAAATGGGGAAATTGTTAGGCCATGTGTAGATGGAAGTCACCATTTACATGGCTTTTTAAGAGTTTGGGTTGTGAACAGAAAAAAAAATACAGGTTCCAATGCTGCAAGGCCAAATCATAATATATGTAGGACCTCAACCTATTACAGACTCTATGTAATTGTGTACAAAAATGAATATATAGCTACATGGCATACCTACACTACCTTCAAAGCATCATGGAAATGTAACAAAAGTAATCTTTTCAAACAGGTTCTTCTGATAAGTACAAAAATAGCCAAATTAACACTTGCAACATAATTTTAAATGCCATTGCTACTCAAAGACTTACATGAGCAACCTGAATAGAAAGTCCCTCTCTCTTGGATAGTATTTGCCTTATTGGTATGACATATCTCTTTACAGCTGATCATAATATGTCTTTTTGTGTTAAAATACAATATTAACAAGGTTGGGCTGTGGAATTATCAGTCACTTGTGGCCACCAAAGAAGTAACAAAAAGTAATATCTTGCATTGCTGTAAGTTCCTAGGATATCCGCATCTGATCCATGATCCGAAATCATGGTCCACGGATATCCACATCCGCCAATGTGGATATCCGCAGATTTGCAGGGCTCTACTTGCCAGGGGCACTGTACGTGAAGGGAGCCCATTGCAGGCAATAAGAAGATAAGAATCGCCACACTGGGTCAGACCAATGGTCCATCTAGCCAGTCTCCAACAGTGGCCAGAACCAGATGCTTCAGAGGGAATGAACAGAACAGGGCAATTTTCAGTGATCCATTTCTTGTCATCCAGCACCAGCTTCTGTCAGTTGAAGGTTGCATCCCTGACCATGTCAGCTAATAGCCATTGATGGACCTATCCTCTATGAGGTTATTTAATTATTTTTTGAACCCACTTGTATTTAGGTTGTCTGTGCATTGTGTGAAGAGGTACTTCTTTTTGTTTGTTTTAAACACACTGCCTATTATTTCATTGGCTGACCCCTGGTTCTTGTGTTATGTGAAGGGGTAAATAACACTTCCTTATTCACTTTCTCCATACCATGCATGATTTTGTAGACTTCTATATCATCCACCCTTAGTTGTCTCTTTTCTACGATGGACAGCCTAAATCTTGTTAATCTCTCCTAGCT